TTTTTATTATCCTTTACAAAAGCTGCCAAATTAAGTTCAAACTGAGCTTTGACCTGCCTGTTTTTTTTTTTCTACACGCCCTAGCAAGCCCCTTAAATACTTCCTGAGAGAGAGACTTGACCCACCTTTCAAAGATGATATTTTCATTTTCCTAGGAATATTATTAATTCTAATTCCTAAGTTCCCATCCAGCCTGGATGTCTGCCTCAACGACTCATCTTTCAGCACACAGGGACAGCCTGTTCCTGTGTCCTCAAGATCTCTGTTTTGAAGCATGCTCACCTTTCCTGGGCTCCTTTGTTTTTAAGGGATTCTTCCCAAGGAACTCTCTGATAAGTCTCCTAAAGAGGCCAAACTTTGCGCTAAAGAAGTCCAATGTAATAGTCTTATTGATGTTCCCCCTAATTTCACCAAATATAGAGAACTCCATAATCTCATGATCACTACGCCCCAAGTGGCAATCTTTGCTGTTGCTGTTATGAGAACATGCAAAAATAAGACTGGAATATATACTTTGTTTCACAGCTGATAACACCACCAAAAACAAAAACTTATTTAGTACCAGACAGTAAGGGCAGAATGAAAGAAATTGTCACTTTTCAAATTATGGAAACTATCAATGCAGATACTAGGAAATTACTAGTGTTTAGAGAAAGGATTAAAATATCATGAAGCAGCTTTTCAGTCAATGAAAAAAGAGTAAGACAACATTAGTACCTCCTATTTTCAGCCAAATTTGCACCTTCATCCTTGAGCTCCTTACTTTTCCTTACACAATCTTCTAAGAGAACTTCCTTTCTCCTCTTAGCTGCGAGCACCCAGGTAGCATCATCATCGTCACCCAGATCCTTGTCATCCGCAGCTTCTGCTTCGAACTGCTGAGAAGTAGCTTTTGAGACCTTCTCACCAATCTTTCTCATCCACCCAAAAGAAGCCATCTGGAGAACTAGGAAGAATGCATTTTAAATAGTTAGGTAATTTTGCTTTAAGTACACAGCAGGACAATCACCCCTCGCTCATCTCGAAGCTAAAGCAGTAGCACAGCGCGGCACTCCCCCACACAGATCTGACCCGACCGGCTGCACTGAGCTGTCCCTGCGGCACGCAGGGTCCGGAGGCCCGCGGCGGTACCTGGCCCTGACGCCGGCCGCCCCTCCCGGCTGGAAGCGCCGCGCCAGGAAGCGGAAAGGCGGGGCGGCACGGCAGGAACCGGGCAGGAGCAGGAAGGAGCGAGGCCAGCGGCGGTGCCCGTGGCCCCGGCAGGGACAGCCGGGAGCCGTAGTTCTCCTAGGCCGTGTGGATGCCGTGAGGCGCCCGGCGGCCGCCCCGCTCCTGTGCGTAGGCGGCAGCGGTGAAGAGCGGGGCCGGAGGGGACAAAACAGCCGGGCCTGGGAGTGTCACCGCCCGCGGTGCTCGAGTGTCACCTGTCACCCGGGGACAGGTATGGGACGGCGGGAACGTCCCTCGCCTGTGCCGACCGCCCTGGGACAGCAGCCACGCACCACGGAGGCGGCTCCGGCCGGGAAGGCCCGTAAGGAGCAGTGAGCCAGGCTCACAAGCACGGCTTTTTACACGGGGAAAAAACCGCCACCACAACTAAACACACACGCACACACACATACACACAAAAAAAAAACCAAAAACAAGTCCCACCACCCTCCAAAAACCCGAAATGCATTAAAAAGCCCAATACAAAACAACAAAAACCCAAACAAATAAAAAAAACACCTCAATCCCTAAACAAAAAGAGAAGACAGGGTTTAGAACTGCAGGGCGGCAGTGTTTAAAACTGGTCCCTGCTTGCGGGGACCAATACCGAGCGAAAAGCCCCATCCGTGGTGGGAGGGAAAGGCTGAGTGAAGATGCGAGAGGAGGCGCATCACCACAGGGGCACAAAAAACGCGATCAGGGTTTGTTCCATCTCGAATTCCTTTTCTGCCGCAAGAGTTCACAAGATCGAGGGGGAAAGGGTCAGTCGGATCAGGCGAGCACAGCTGGTGCACCGGCCTGGCCAGCTGGGAAATCTGCTGACATTTTTGTCACGCTGCTGCTTTTTCTATAATTGTAATAGCCGTTGCTTTTAAAACGAGCGTAACAGTTCTTGTCCACTTACGTATAACACTAGAAAACAGCAAACACACAGTTTCAAACAAGATGGTTCAGTATTTTATGTTTACTTCGTTTTTAGTTTTGAAAGGTTAAAAAGTTATACAGTTAGAAACAAGCATTTTTGCCATTCAGCTTTGTCAAAAGAAATTAACAGGAAGTAGGCACATCTTTGTTAAAGAACAGGACTTCGTATCTTACAATGGTAATCAACTGGTAAAACAAAATTTAGCTCGAAGTTTGTATTAAACACTCACATCAAGACAAACATGAAAGGATTTTTTTTTTCTTCATATTGCACCACCAAGATGAACTTTTATCCATTACCTATTGATTTATATTGCACATGGACAGCCCAGATTCATCCATGTTACTGAAAAAATTACAATACAAAGACAAGGTAACTCATTGTACTCCATCAGGAGTAAGCTTGGGAATACGGAGTAACACACTTTACCAGTTTGTGTATCTGCATAAGCTGCTTTACAACTCTGGCAGCTCTCTCAGTGAAGTTTCATTTCACAGCCTGTTGGCAGCTTCTAGGGCAATCCTAAAGGTCTGCAAGATCAGTAGGAACATGTGAAGAAAGCAATTTCAACAGCAAGATCTACAAAGCATAAGAAAATGACACAACAGGCAACTGGGTTCAATTGGGTTGTTAGTGCCCCTTTCTACCCTTCCCCTTCCCTATAAAAATCTCAATTCAATCAGAAAACCTTTGGCCATCAAAATTGATCTACCATAAAAATGCACTTTTATTTACAACTACATATATTGTACACTTCTGCCAGAAACTTGCTTTAACTTCCTGATACCAAAACTAAGGACAAACCAGGGTTGTCTTAAAGCACAAGAGGGCTGAAAAGGTATATAAAATTAAGAACTATTTTGCATCTTTACACCTTGCATGTGTTGTCAGCATTAGAAGGAGCAGATAACATTTATAAATAGTTCAATACATGCAAGTGATCCCAAAACCAATTCCAGATGAGGAATTGCTACAATTTAAAAACCTGTGCGTTTGTATGTTTATACAAGTGCAGTACTTAATTCCAAAATAAAGGGTAACAAAAATGAACACACTAATTTATTCAGTACATCAGTACCAATTCATACCAGACAAAAGACAGGACTTCTTTGTAGGATTTGCAACTGGTCCCTCACATTGGCATCCTAAAATTTTGGGGCTCAACTTCTGATACTAACTTCCACTTTGGAAAATCTTCCAAAGACTTAAAGTACAGTGATACAGCCAATGTCCCTACAGGGACCATCTGTGACACGTGAGGATAAAAAAATGAAGTTGTAAACTTGTACCCACCTCTGAGACAGACCTCACTATCACCCAGTTCAAAATACAACAGTTCAGGGGCTTCAAAACAGCATTATGTTTCTTCATATTCTGTGCATGCAAATTTCTGAGCTGCAGCCAGCTGGCCAGAATTTAACTGTTCCTACATCCGTAGCTAGCAGTTTCCCATGGATAAAATCTCTGCCATTGGCAAGAATTTCCACCCATGTGAAGAGTCCAGGTTTCACTGCTCAGTAATGCCTGGAAGTTCCAGCCTCTTCCTGGGGGAGCAACCTTTGAAACTATGTAGGTCATGAATATTATTTTGAAGAAAGCATTAAGTCTTGAATGCAAACCTAAGTATTTTATGATTGCTTATGTCTAAGTGTCAGATGAAAATGGAACCATGGCTAATTATATCCAATTTAAAGAGACTAAAGATATTCATGCAAGTACTACCTGTGATTTTAACATACAAAGTTCAGGTTTTTTCCTGAACTGCTGCAAAAACCATAAATGCAGAATGACTTTTATTATGGATAATTGCAATCTATAATTAAAAACTCTAGCACTCAAGTTGTCATGATAAGTTTTCAATGTTCAACTGAAAAGTTAGACTGTTTGATTCAGTTAAATAGCTAAGTTTCCTACAGAGGCTGCCTGGGAAATATTAAAACTGTGTATGTGGTTTTCACTTCATACTGAATACTATATAATATAATATAAGTTAAGGTGATAACCAGCTGTATCAAAGTATAAACACATATGTTAAAACCCTGTAAATTTCAGATTCTGGAATAGCATGAAACAGCCCTCAGGCTCTGCTCTTAACTCCAGGGACATGTTTCTAAGGAAAAGGATTCTTGGTCTGCAGTTACAGAGGGGAGCTGCTCTGCTGCTACCACACTAAGATAATGTGTACAGACAAGGAGGAGCTCCCTGACCGGTTCTCCACAAAGCAACATTTTGGTTTAGCCCATGGGATGCCACATTTTCTCAGCATTAAGTTTCCTGCCACTGTTCTGGACTCAATCATTCTACTCATTCTACTGTCCACACTTTTCACCCTCAATTACAGAGCACCTACACATTTCCAACTGGCCAGATTTGCATGCATTTAATAACACTTTTTGTTAGAAGTAGTACATTGTAACACATCATCGCATTCTTTATTATTTTTGTCAAATAAGGGGGAAGAAACAGTTTTAATACATTAACATCTGTCAGGAGATGCTGATACTTCTGTATCAGTCACAACTGTAGAGGGTGACCAACAAATCATACTAAGATCACTGAACTAGGACGTGTATGTTAACTTACAGTGCATCAGATATATGTATAACTAGATAAAAAAACAAGGAGGTCCATCTAGCTTAAATGTTATAGGCAGCCTATTTTGCACTCCAGGTAAAATGTTACAAACACTACCCAAAGGGCATCTTATTTCCTGTACCTGTGTTATGCTATTGGACAGCAGGCAATCAGAATTCACTCCAGCTTCAAAATAATACATGTTAACTGCCCATAATAAGTTTTATCCCCATGCAAGTTGCATTCTGTGGCTAGCTTTTTCAGCGCCTTAGTTAATTTCACTTGATTATAATTGGAAGCATCTGACTATGATTTAGGCATGCTTATTGCTCTAAAAGAAATAAGCCCATCTTCAAAATTACTGTGCAAGTATTTTAATAAGATTTGCACACATCTCAAAAAACTCAATTGTATGACTCCCTGGTCTTGGAGTTACGTCAGCTGTAGAAGAGTCAAGCGAAGAGTTGACTGATGAGGTAAGGGATGTATCCGCAGATTTTCCTTGAGCATCAGCATCTGAATCTTTTTGACAAGATTTATAGTTGCTCACAGAACCTGATCTCTGTGGAGTTGCAGTCCCAGACTTCGCTTCAGCAATTTCATCTGGAAACAAGGGAAGAGAAGAGAAAAATTTGGTTAAAAAAAAAATTCAGTTCTAGGAAGAGCAAATATCGTCCCTTCTCACAATTCAAAATCTTGTCTTTTAAAATCTTGATTAATAACTGAACAGCTTTTGCAAATAGCATTTGATACAAAATAAAAGCTTGTATACATAGTAGCACAATAGCAAATGTTCTTATGCTAATTCTTTCTGTGCTCTGAACTGTACTTCAGAACTATTTACACCCACTTTAGACTAGAACTAGATACTAATTGTATTTTTCATGAACTGATTTCAGCAGCCAACTGTTCAATTTAGGTTACTCAAAACAAAACCAGGTCAGCATCATAAGATTAAGTTCAATAGCAGTTTGTAGATGTTTTTTCTACAATCTACTTTATTTTTATTCTATTTTTGTTCTCTTTTGGGTATTTATATATTATTATTTGTATTTTATGATAATTCATTACAACATTACACTTGTTAGCATCTGCACTCATTTATTCTTCTCTTTTGAAAGTTTTTTACCATAGAATGTATATTTAGGCTGCAGCAACTGATCTCTACCTTCAGTATGAAGAGAAAATAGTTTCATTTTAATAGTAGTGTTCTGATGAAGCATCTCTATTCTTATTTTAAATACTGAACATTAACCTGGCTCTAAGCTGGCTCCTGAAAATTATTTCAGGAGAAATTGGTGAAAAGGCAATACCTCTTGTTTACACAAAGCTACTTAAATTTACAAATTGTTAAAAGAACAAAGAACCATTAACTATGGCAGAGAGAAGGAATGTCAGATCGGTTTAACTACTGGAAGGGATACAACCCAAGGGCACAGATTTGTTCTATTTCCTCAAAAGTGGAAACCAGAATTGTAGCAGGCTGCCCTCCCAGAGCTGCACGGCTCTAAGCAGTCAAAAAAAAAAAAATTCCTTTTTTCCATGCAATGTTTTCCTAGGCATGTCATCTACACCAGTGGCTATAGGTAACTATCATTTAGTCTATTATGCCCATAAACAAGTGTTCAGTCTCTTTTAGCTCCTATGCTCACTTCATCTAACCAGGCTTTGTATACTGTGTTACTGTCACTCCATAAAATATATTTTTGTACAGGTTAAACTATATGCTTTCAAGATTTTAGTTCCTTCGAGCACAAAATTCCTACCTCAAATTTTACCTATTAGTAGAACTGGTGGGTTAACTTTGCCTTGCAGCTGATATCTCAGAGCAAAAGGGAAGAAAATTGGAAGGGCAAAAGTGAGAAAACTCACAGGTAGAAATCAAGAGTTTTAAGTAAGGTGTTGGGGGGGAAAGTGATGCAAAGGCAACCTCTCACTATCTCCAAGCAGGCTGATGCCCAGCCAGTCTCACTGTTACCTTCCCCAAAAGCCCTTTCTTTGCTAGGCATAACATAATATGGCATTGAACATCCATTCATTCAATGTTGTAGTGTGCTGTTAAGTTCCTTGTGTTATTCCCCCAATTTATGTATTGTTCTCCCCTATTATGTGTAAAATGGTTTTGTTCCCCCAGTTTTTCCCGCCACTGCCACCCTGTCAGCTAAGTTGCTCTATTCATAGTTGCCGATATGTAATTGCTCCTCCCCTAGTTTCCCTTATAAGTGAAAGCTGTCTCCTCCCTAGGCCCAGTCAATCACTCCCTTCTCCTCCCAAGTTTCGAGAACCTTCTCCTCTCTGGAAGTAGTAGTTAGCTGGAAACCCAGGACACCTTCCTTACCTTTTGATTATTAGTCTCCATAGAGTGTCAGTTCTGTGAAGTTCATCCCATCACCTTTCCCGACTGGTTCCGCCTGTACCCACCCCCCTCCTTTATAATCCTGTTTCACCCCCTATTGAAAAAAACTTTTTCCCAGTTAGTTTTCCTGCGTTTGCATCCTGCTACACCTTCAATAAACCAATGTTTAACCCCCAGAAAATAGTCAGCTCCATTCCTCCCCAATACCAGCAGTGTAAGCCAGTCCGCAGCCAGCGCAGCCCGAAGCCATCAGACACCGAAGAGTGCTAGCCAAGAATTGCAGAAAGGCGTCGGCCTTTCACCCTCAGCTAGTCAGACTCTAAACTTTGGGCCACGTACGCCCCCCTCTGCAAGAGTTCAATATGGCTCAGCTCTGCAGAGCTGTTGCTCCCCTCCCAACACAGTAGTGTGGAAAAAGAAAGGCTGGATACTATGCCAGTGCTGCTGAGCAACACTCAGCAGCAGTGTGTTTTCAGTACTGTTTTAGTCACAGATCCAAAACAGCACCATGTAGGCTGCTAGGAAGAAAATTAACGCCATCTCAGTCAGACCCAGTACAATGAGGTACAGTCCAAGTGAAATTTAAATGCCTAGATGTCACACTTATCTTCATGGAAAACACTGTTCACATGCTTACTTCAGATCTAAATTAATATTTAAATTTGGGGTAAGGCTCCAAAGGCAGCCTAAGTTGCTTCTCCTCCAACAATACTGTCCCCTTTTGCACTACTGGTTTTAGTTCTGATGCAGACAAAAAGTAGAGCTCCTCAGGAGCTGACATTGCAAAAAAGCAAATGAGATGCAGCAGCTAAGCACATATCACAGGGACACTAGTCCTTGAAGGAATAAGGAAACACTAATACATGTTAGATTGATTTAAAATTAAAAAAGGGCAACACTTACTTCACTTCTAAATAAGTAAATGATGACATTTGCAAGTAGAATGATTTCACCTACAACTCAATTAACTTAAGTAACTCTTCACATACCATCAATACTACGGAAGTCCAGTAAGTACGTTCTGCTGTCCACCTGGTACAGCTGCAGACTCATTTTGGAATATGCACTTGTTACTGGATTCTTCCTCCGAACACGCAGATAGTATGGATTTACAACCTAGTATGGAAGAGATTTGAGTCAGTTAACCAGAACTGCTTGAAAATCACTGCATACTGTTTTTGTCCTTTCAATTCACTAGTGTTTATCAAGTGATTTCAGACTTCATCACCTGTTGGACTTGGGGGTTATTGGGATTTTTTTTAGCCAAGAGAAATATATTCCTGCATCCACAAGAGAAAATTTTAGCTTTTTTTTCCCTGTCAGCATGTACATTCTCCCCCCAACACCCTTCTGGCACAGCAAACATCGACAGCACAGGCACATGAGATTAATGCCAGAATATGAGAACAGTTTCAGATGTCTGGGAGATGTAACTACACAGCTCAAACAAAAATGCATTGTTGTTTGCTGTAAAGGTCATTTATTTTGTTACCTTCCATTCATAATCCAGTTGTTTAATTGCTCTACAAACTTCAGCCATGATATCATTTGGTCGACTCTGACTCCGTATCCCCAGGTGCCATTTAGCCCGCCTTACACCCTGGTGCTTTGACTTCTGTGGATTCAGCTCATCAAGGGTGTGGCGAGGGCGTGGTGCTTCAGCTACTAAAAATGGCACTCGTTCAGGGTGAGGGCGAGACAGGTGGTGATCATCCAGAAAAGAATCTGGTGGACTTGTGGCCAAGTAGAAGTCTTTGGCCTCGTTCATTATTCTTCTGTTATCTATAATGAGGTGATAAGCAACAGCCAGAGGATCCTGATGATTTCTGCTGTACAGACAACTTAGCACTTCCTCTTCCGTGCACTCAAACTTCTCACACACTTCTTTTAAGGCTTCATCATCAATCATGGTAGAGCTATATGATGGATCTTCAGGAAACAAGTATTTTGGAAGATCCTGCTTAAACCATTCATGTTCCCTAGATTTAAAAATAAAAAACATCTGAGTATACATAAGTAAAGAAAACATGTTTAACAGGAAATTCCTTTAAAATATAAAATTAATTTTAGTCTATGCTGGAAGAAAGAATAATGGTTGCCAATCTAAGACCCTTGTAGCACAGACAATGAAATAAGCACTGCCTGCACAAGATTTTACTAGACATTTTGCAGGAAACTGAGAAAAATGTTTTTGTTATCTCACAAATTGCTTAGTGATAGGAATCAGGTGGTTACTTTCTCATTTATAATTTCAGTACCTTCCTCCTCCTGTTCTTGTGACTGTTTTGCTGCACAAAGAGCTGATCCTTCTGATTCCCTCTCCTGTTCCCTTCTAGAAGCTTCTTCATTCCTGACCAAACAAGATTACTTTTTCTTTGGGTGTTTACTTTTAGTTATAGGAGCAAGTGATATAGTTGAAAGCTGGGTTTCTGTCCTAGCCAAAGTGTCTGTTGGTATGTTTTCAGACTCAAAAATCCCATCTTGTCCTTGAGGGTGCTGGTTAGTATTGAGCAGTGTTCAACAGGAGCAGGCCATGTCCCAGCACAGTGTTAATTAGCCGGGCCTGTTTGCAACAGCATCATTCTTTCAAACGTTCTATCACTTCGTGACAAAATGCCATTTCTATCATGTCCTACCTGCACATTTTCTCCCACGTGCCTTACCACACATAACCACACTGCTATGAGGCCTGGGAGATGTTCCAAATTAACTTGTCAATCTTCCAAAAAAAGTCTAAATTATGCTCCTAAGAAATACCAGTACAAATATTTTGACTGCCCAAGGTTTTCAAGATACTGAAATTATGGCAATGAGGGAGAAAACATCACAGAAGAATGTAGCGAAGAATGTAGCGAAGGTGCCATTCTGTATTTGCTGCACAAAAAAAAAAATCTTGGACAAAGATATGTAATTGTTAATTGTCTCCCTAAGATGGTACTCAAAGGACAGTCACAGCTTCAGTAGAGAGCCCAAATACCAGATGAAGCTCAAGGCCAATGTTCTAATTAAAAAAAAAAAAAAAAACACAGAAAACAAAACAAAACCACCTCCCCAAAAAGTCACAAAGCACTACATAGCACAGCAAATTGCAAAAAGTCTCCTAAATCTTCAACACGTACAGCAAAAAATGGAACATGGAAGAGATCCTATAAATCAATATTGAGAACAGAGAAATCAATAGTCTTACAAAGAACCATTATACAGACAGAATTTATAATTATTTTATCTAATATGCTCTGTTCAAATCTGTTTTTAACTCAACACCTTCAAGCCCCATACTAGGTATCAAACAGGATGGTTACAACTGGCTTAACCCCAGCCAGCAACTAAGCACCACACAGCCACTTGCTTGGTCCTCTCCAGTGACATGAGGGGCAGAACCAGAAGAGTAGAAGTGCAAATAATTTGAGGGTTGAGATAAAAACCAGTTTCATCATTAGAATTAAAAAAAAAAATTCTAAGCAGAAAAAAAAATCCAAAAACACAAGAGAGGTGAAAAGGAAACCCAAGAAAGACAAGTAATGCAGATAAAAACAACTGCTCATCACAAAATGTCTGATGACCAGCAGACCAGCCCCATCAGCCTTCCTCTTATTTTCACTGCAGACTATGACCCTATATGGTTTGGAAAATGCCTGTGCTCAGCTGGGGTCAGCTGCTCCAGCAGTGTCCCCTCACAATTCCTTGTGCACCCCCTGGCTGCTCTGTTAGGACCATGTAAGAAGCAGAAAAGCCTTTGTCTCTGTGCAGGCCCTGCTCTGCAGTAACTACAACATCCATCTGTTACCAAGACTAAATTCAAAACACAGTTACTGTGAAAAATTCAATTCTATTCCAGCCCAAACCAGCACAGTGAACTAAACTCCACTCAGTGTGATCCTGAGAGCACTGTGCCTCAGCATGAACGTGCTGAGCAAAATATAGTTTAATCAGAAAAACAGTTCATTTGGAAGCAGAAGAATATTTTTCCCATATCACAACAGCCATAGACTCAGCCATAGCTGGGATGACTGAACCCAGAGGAATACTGTTACTGTTCACGGCACTAGGCCTTTCCCCTTGCATGAACATACATACAACCCCTAGAAGAATTAAGGTATTCAAACAAACTCAGTTTGTCCTTTAAACTGTGAGGTGACATGTCATATGGGTAATAGGACAGAGCTGTTCCAGATTCAAATTCCAGCCATGCTCTGTAACCAACATTTTTCAACATCTGTTTCACACCACTCCTTTACCACAAACTATTTATTTAACACAACTGAGGTTGCTCATTTCCTAACTTCCAACCCTAAAAGGAGCAGCTTTTTCACTATGGTAGTATAGCAACACTCTTTCCTTAGAGCTTCTTGCGAAGAAAATTAAGCTGCTGCATAAAGTACATTTGTCCCAGCTACCTTTTTTTAATTTGATCCAGCGCACATTTGTCAACACAATCAGCTGCTCCAGAATTATCTCTTGGAATCTGGAGCCCATGATGCCTCTAACTACAAACATTAACTTATCAGTATTTGGTGAAGTATTTACCATTCATACACAAATTAATGCCAGTGCTTTGAACCTAGAAATTGTTGCCTTACATGTGGCATATTCACAGTTTTAACAAATAACTTTTCAGACCCTGAAGAAATATGAATAAAACCAGTAGTTATCAGATTAAAGAGACATTTACAGTAGAGAGCACTAGTTCCTAACAGCAAAGACAATCTTCTTCCCCTAGAGAAGTCTATATACCATAATTTTTGCAAACCATTATGCAAGTAAACACCTTTGCTATGGCAGTCTTAAACCTAAAGTATCTCAGAATTTCCATATATAGTATAAATAATTTGTTTTACTATGATCTCCAATAGATACTTAATTGTCTAATGCAGATCAGCACTATCAGAGCTAAAACCAAGCCATCACAACCTGAATTTTTCATCTCAGTCTAGAAAATATGGACAAGCTCTATGAATAACTTCTTTGTTCTGCATATTTGTGCTACTGTAATTCCAGCATGCTGCGATCAGACATCAGCGTTTTACCTAATGTCTCTGATTGTTGCTCTTTTCATTGGATCCACTTGCAGCATATGCTTCAAAAGACTAATTACAGATGGATTCAGGTACTGAGGGGTATAGAAGATACCATCACATATCTTCTTAAAAAGGGTTGGCACATGATCATCATCAAATGGAAGTGTTCCGCATAACAAAGCATAGAGAATAACCCCACTGCTCCAAATATCTACTTCTGGACCTGCATATAACCTGTGAAAAAAAATAATTATTATTACTGATTTGTGTTTAATACATTTAGATATGTTTTCTGTCATTTTTCCATTGTCTCACAGTAATTAAAAGCATGTGAACTCATGACAACCGATTTTGCAAGCACTATATCATTTTAGTTCTATTCTGTAGCTCCCTTGAACCTCAGTACTCTTCCCTTTCTAATAAGAGAGCCCAAGTAAAGTTTTCCTGTTTAATGCATAACAATAATCCATAATGCAATTCTGCACAATGGCAAATTGAAAGAAACATGCATCTACTACTAAGAAAGCCCATGTTATATATTGCTATCAATGTTATAGAGGAATCTGTGCAAAGTCAGTTATCCCCCAAATCGTGGCTGAAAAGTTTAAGACAAGTCCACATAGTGAACATGACACATATTCTGTGCCCCTGCCAGAGTAGAAGAGACATCTGGCCTCCAGTCAACAAGAGGCAATGTTAGAGTACATAGCTGAAAGCAGATTTGACAATTATGGTTTACAAAAAGGGAAGTTACCTCCAAAATTAGTATCTACTCTGCAGCATGCATTTCACTGATACTCAACTTCACAGCAGACTCTGCCTGAAACTCTGCACCTCAGCTTCCAAGATCTGAGCTCTACATGAGATTTTTACAGCAATTCAGGCAGAGCGTACACAACGCATTTGGGCCATTAGACATCTCACCTCTACCTTACAGGAACTATTCAAAGCTAGTTCACAGAAGCTTTAAACATTTTAAAAATTATCAATACCACTATCAGCCCTCAGTTTCTCAGTATAAAGCTTGTCAACTGAACTACTTTTGTACCCTTTAAAATCAAGCAGCAATATGACTGAAGTACATGCATACGTGTATCCAATATAAAAGAAACTACCTTCCAGAAATTACTTCTGGTGCAGCATAGTTAGGGGAACCACAGCTTGTTCTTAAAAATTCTCCATCTGACATCATATTTGATAGACCTGAAAGTGTATAAGAGTAACTACTAAAAATTGAGGGAGCAAAATTATTTCACACTGCATATAGCACCTAGAACAAACCACTAGTGATTCAAATTAGAAAACTAACAGATTTATTCCAGTTAAGAAATAGCGTTGTTTGGAATTATGGAATTTTTATTTGAGCATGCCACATAATCCTCCATGTATTTTATCAGAAATCCGAGTAACATCAATCCATTACTGCCCACAGCCTAGAGATATTTGAGAACATATTTAGCCCTAGACTCGAACAGCTAAATTTGGATGACACAGGCATGACAGAGAAAAAAGTTGCTCAAAGGGAGATGAAGCAGTATAGCAAGACAGGATTTTGGTCATTAACAAGAAAGTACTAAAATTCTTATTTGCTTCTAAAATGCCAAAGTGGGAAATGCTACCAGAGAATTCCCTAAAATTCTGTTAGAGGTTACACAGAAGAAAGGAGTAAACATGAGGAGTAAACGTCACTGAGGAGTAAACATGAATTTACTACAATTTACACCCATATATTATGCACCTGGTTCCTGCATCATGGCAGTTTAGTAATTTGCTTTTCAGATACTCTGTAAGTGCCTTAGAACAAGGCCACCTGCATTCACCAGCACTCAGTATAGTCTAACAGCTGTAGAAAATTTCTCCTTGTTTCCTCAGGGAGGCTGCATGATCAGGACTACCATAAACCAAAGATCTCAAGAACAAATTACGCCCTTTTATGGGTCAGCAGGGAATGTGGAGGGGAAAGAGTACAGCTTGGCTAGCTTTCATATTCTAACAAACAAAAACTTTTATTAAGCTCTTGTTTAATACATCGTTCATGAATAAATGAGTGCTACAGTTTTGCTGACACTAAGTTACAGGAAAATGTTTTTGTAAGTTACTGTACGTCATTTCTTTACTATGTGAGCCATTTCACCCAAATAATTTCTTCACATGAGAAACCAGTATGATTCCCAGGGCCCACACAGTTGAACATCATACTTTTAAAACATAGTTTGCATACTCAGCATTACCTAACACCTTTCACAATGTCTACAGAGATCTGTCATGACACATCAGTATGGATACCTTACTACGCCTATATGTGATGAGTCAGGTGAGGTTTCCTGACTCAGATGGTTCCAAGGCCCAGCTTCAAGGCTTCTCTGCAGCTGTGACATGAAAAGCTGGCATAAACAAATCAGGAAGACTAGTGTATTTTTCTATATCACTGTAGCTTCTTGAAGATGATGAATTGCCCCTGCACTGTTCTTCCAGGAGAACTAAGCATCTCATTTTACAGATGGTGAAACAGAAAAGGAGTGAGTTTTGAAGAAGGTCAGAAACTAAGTTCACTTAGCATTTCAGATAAAATATTGTTAGTGAAACCAAACTAATCAGTTCACAATTTCAGCCAGTCACAGAAAATACCTCAAGAGAAAGCAAGAAAGCTTGAAATGAAAACAAGTTCAATAAATGTGCAAGAACATTATTTTGCTTTACATCTATTTTCTTTATGTTCCTCTGTTGTATCCCACCACACAGATATTAAACTATACATACTTTGTTTAACATTTCCTTTTGTTATTAACAAGATCTAACACCATAAATGCAATCAGATAGAAAAATAAAGCAATACTTACCAAAGTCAGCTATCTTAGCATTCATGTGTGCATCAAGAAGCACATTTTCAGGCTTCAGATCTCTATGCACTACCATGTGCCTGTGACAGTAATCCACACCAGAAAGGATTTGCTGAAACAGACGTCTACTTTCCTTCTCATCAAGCTACAACAGACAAAGATTTTAAATAATTAAGAGGCAGTGGAAGTTAACTTGTTTTTCATTTTTACTAGCCAGCGAAAACTTTCCCATTACCTAAACTATGTATAACTATATATAACTCTAAATTATACTTATCATTTGATAATTTATATAGCTTTATAGATACTTTGTCAGAACTAGTAGCAAGCAGATTCATATCTTATACCATGTTTGTTTGCACCACAGCTGTAAATTGACTCAAACAAAACATACCCACTTACTCAGAAAGTCACTGGAAGTTCTTATTGACACTTTTGAAATTGGGTTTGGCAGATGTTACATGCTCACTAAATAGAAACATTAGCACTGAAACATTTAGCTTTGTATAACTGGAATCATCAGTTTGATATTTAAGCACAGTGCAAGACTTAAGCTGGCAAAAGCTGCTGAAATGCAAAATGCTACAGAAATTATTAACTTCAGATGCTATTTATGCTCTCAGCATCTGGTCACAAACAGCAGACTTAGGAGGGTATTTCCTACAGAGACCCACAATCCATATCAGTTTGTCCCAGCAACTCTAGTATTCTATGTATCTAGTCTGTAAAAAGGGACTTCAGATTTTTCACACAAGCTGTTCTAATAGTAGAAGACAGTAATAAGGGGACAATGGTCGCTTTCTAATAATGGGATATATAAAGAAACAATTTTCAGCTCCTCCAATTGGGTACATATTCATCTAGTTTATTCCCAGCCACTGTAAATCAACAGATTAGTAGAAAGGAACAATGCTATGACAAAGTCACACAGGAAGATTTTTAATGTGTTAACATATAACCATTTCTACTTTCAAAAAAAAAAACAAAACATAGTCATAAAATATATTTTAATTGATAGCAGCAAAATTGAAACTGAATACAAGAAAACACACCCACATTTAACAAGGTGTAACCAATACCCCTTGCTCCCAGCCCATGACAATGTGGTTAGCTTAATTAATGCCACTTAGTGAGGCAAGCAGCCATTCTGTGACCATGCAAGTCATGTGTTCATCCCCTCTGCCTCATTATCAGGTCCTGGAGGTCCTGTGAAGCAAATAAACCCATTTTCTTCTACCCCTCCCTACCAGCCTCAAGATTCCCAGGTGCCAGGCTGATTATCTGCTGCATATAATCAGGATACTGAGGACCAGCATAGTGAGGACCAGCCTTTAGTCCTCAGGCACAGAGCCATGGATGATTGTCATGGCATACGGAACTGCAACGGCAGCCAGAGTTTGATGTCTTTACCACCAGCTATGAGTCCTAAATGGGAATGAAACCTGGGACTTCTCAGTGGCCACAGACATGTCCAGCACCCTCTGCTTCCTCTGAACTTGAGTTCATCTGTAGACTTTCTAGACTTTCAAGGCTAGACTGTGACTGTTATATGAATACAGCAAAATATGCATTAAGATTGGACCAGATGTACAGAGGGTCTAGGGGAATAGACATCCCAAATTAGGTTGTGTAAAACTTCTGTACTACACTATTTATAAATTATAGTATATTCATTCTGCTCATAGAAATCTTGCGCTACTCTAATTACAAATACTGTACTACATTAATCATAATATTCTTTTGAGAAAAGAAAACTTTTTATTGTATCATTCTGATAAAGATACCCAAAAAGATGCCCAAAAATCTATCCCCTCAGTGTAGAGTGACACAGGAACATTGCAAATGCAATAACAGAACGCAAGTCCGTGATTTACAGAGCTGGAATACTTCTTACCCTTCCATTTTTACAGATATAATCAAACAGTTCTCCTCCTGAAACATATTCCATCACCATGAAAATGTCAGTGGGTGTACTGATGACCTGGTACCTGATAAGAGAAGGTATCTATTAGTCTACACACTCAGTAAAACACTAAATACATTTGGTTAAAACCGAAGTCATACAAATAATCAGATAAAAAATACACTTTAAAACAGTTACAATCAATCTACAGCTACTGGAATGACAATATTTCTCAGAAGCTTTTTACCTTCCTTTCACTATGTGACACCATCTTTGCAAAGACTAGCAAAAAATCTGTAATCCATATTAGGAATATCTGTCCTTGCTCTTTCAGAGGGACAAGTGATTTCTTTAAGACTATAAGACTGTGTAAGACAGTGCTGCCTCATCAACAGCTTGATGCAGTGAAAAGGGACTTCAAAAGGACTTTGCCAGTATTGCAAAAATACACACTTTTCAGCATTAACATGCAAAAAAATTTATTTGCCATAAATGAAAAAGTGTACTTCGAGACTGGGAAAAAATTCCTCTCAATAATTATGAATATTAAGAGTACTGATCTCTGGTTGTTATATTTTTATCATTCTACTTCATTCTAAAAACACAACTTTGAAGCTTTGAAATAACAAGTTTAAGGATAAAATAAAAATTTAAGAAATTTTTATTTTTTCTAATATCCTTACCTAAAAATTATTTCATATACTCTCTTTACAGCATTCCACATGCAAAAGAAAAAATTTTCCCAGTGATTCCTTGAGAAAGAAACGGTCATCTCAAATCTGCTAAACTGTCTTCAGTTTATATGTAGGAATGTGTAACAAGCACACATTCCTCTTTCACCTTGGTATGTCACGGTGCACTGACACTCCCTATTCTGTTCTGGCTATGGGTATGCCCTTTGGACCCATTCACAGATTAACTGAAAGCACTATCAATTCTGCTGACAAATCAGCTCAACAGCCTTCTGAAAACTAGCTCACTGACGAAGTGGGTGAGTTGACCTTACACAGTGTAATTTAGCTTCAGTGTAACAGCTGTTGCTCAATTAAAGGGAGTGCAGAAATGTGGCATCTGCCAGCGACAGTGGGGTAGACAAAATTCTACCAACAAAACAACCACCCACATCATGACTAAGACAGCAGAAGTCACCCACACTCTGAAAGTGCAGAATATTTCAAGAGGAAATTAGAGTCAAAGAAAATCAATGTTACTTATAATTTATTACCACAGACAAGACATGAGGGGTCTACTCTAGGACACAGTTTTACTCTGAAATCCACTGATGAACTACTGATCAACTAACAGATGTAATCAGGCATATTTTAAATACTACATTTAGACAAAGGGTAGCCACTACACTAAAGATTTCTGAAATAGCAATCATATTTATTAAACTTTACATCCTTAATTCAGAAAAATCTTGCAGAGCATCACCTACACTGAAAAAACATATCAATGACCAGCACATCACTAAAAACACTTTGAAAAGACACATACTTGCTATAGAAATGACCTTTACACTTTTGCTCTTAGTAACTCATTTCCCAAGCAGGGGGAAAGCAATCAAACATAAACAGAAAAAAAGAACTGAAGTAGCCACTAAATTCAGAGATGACTGCTACCAGAAATACCTGTCATGCCATTACCTTTCATACACCTGTCCAAAGAATGTCTAAGCAAAGATCTAATGGAAATTCTCCAGCCTGCAGTAAAACCCAGCTTTGTAAAAACACATTACAGAGGGCACAGTTGATACTTTGAAGCTGGTTACTTTTCTGACAAGATAAGAATCCTTATAATAATAAGTAATACTACTGTTTGTAGTATTGCCCTTCAAATGTGTTTCAGAGCAGTGACAGCAAAAAGAGATTACTGTCTAAGTAAGCTTGATTACAGTAAGCAAAACTTACAGCTTAATTATATGAGGATGCCTGAAGAGTTTGAGGTTCTGGATCTCCCTGCGGATTTTGCCTACAACATCAAGGCTGCGAATCTTCTGTCGATTCAGGATCTTCACAGCAACCTTGTGCCCAGTAAGTTCATGTTTTCCAACTGCAAGAAATAAGGAAGTATTTAGTCAAGGCTTTCAATTGCTCAGCTAAGACATTGTTTCTCCTTTTTGAATGTAGCCAAGTTAAGACACTAGCATTCCACCTATCCCCATTATATCTTTGGGAAGGTTGCAAAGCAGATGATATGGAATTTCTTCAGCCCTACTCCAATTTCTTCCACAATTCTATCATTAGAAGATGTATACATGTAAGAAATTCCTTAATCCTAACCAGCAAGAGTCTTGCAGCATAACATTTTTTTGCAATATTGGTTTAAAAAAAAAAAAAAAAAAGGCAAAGCATATCCCCAAACCCTGCCATCCTTGCTAATTAGAGAGCATTTCCACTCACTGTGTAAGTCACTCCAAGCTTTTGGCTTGCTTGGCAACCCACTCAAACATGTTTTCCTGTACCTCCTCTACTTCATCTGCAAGGATCACTCCTATCACTCCCTCAAGAAGCCTGCTTCAGCAATTGCTCTAAATTACCAGTGTAAGTACCTGATCAGTTTACTTATAAAAATCTATCTGTCCTTGGAGCAGTCTGACAGCTCCACATTCTGTGCAGTTAACACCAGAGCTTTATTCTATTTAAATAAGTAGTAAATGTGACGAGAAATGCACAAAAAATAGAACAGAAACAAGGAAAAACAATGGAAAAGATGCAACTAATGCATTCCTAGAAGTGGAAAAGAAACTAAGGATGGTTTCATTGTTCTTTAAACAGAGAAACTAAAGAGTCTAAACTATTTCACAGTTAGTTACCTCTCTTAAAGTCCTTAACTTTGCAAGTGCTAATGGGAGTAGACACAGCAAAATCCATGAGAATATTTTTCTTAAACCCAAAACACGATCACAGATGGAACACCAAGAAGCTAAGTATCTCTTTTACTAGAATGCTTCCCTGTCTGCATGGCTGCCACACACAGTGATTATAACATCACCATTTATTTGCCACTCTGACTTCTACCTTCCAAAGATAAGCCAGATTCTCCAGATACACACATGGCTCATCCTTGTCCACATGAATAAACATTTGTAACAGAACTTGCTGAACACAATACTCACTCATTTGGGTGCCTACCCTCACTTGGGAGTTTAAATAAGCCCCGGGCTTCAAGATTTATTTTTATATATCCATGAGAAGCTGTGATTAAACAGCAGTGATGCACAAAAATCTTTCTGTGTTCAACAGATAATTTGGATAGAATAAACAAACACCCATTGATCTGTAAGTCTCATTCCAGCACAATATACCTTCCTGCTGCCTTCTGCCTCTATATCAAGCTAAAAACCAATGCAAGTGAGAAGTTCTTAGCAGAGGCAGAAGATAATGACAAGCATCTGCATGCTTTTTCTTACAAGACAGCCACCTATAAAATTAAGCAGTCTGAATTCCTGTAGGGAACTAAACAGTGGATTACCCAAGACCCAGAATCATCACAATGCTGCACTGAGATACATTTAGCACATGGAAAAACAAAAGAGCTCTGATTAGGATGAAAAGACATCCCCTAAATTCAGAAGGGCCACAGTAAACAAAGCGCTGGCCAGGCATGTTTGCACTACTGAGGAATGCAGGACAAAGCTGGAATCCATAGCAAGTTCTGGAGAGACCACAAAGCAGTGGCAGGTGAATGCCTAGAAATGTATGAGAATTATTTGCTTTGAACCAGACTTGCAATCAAACCAGTTACATTCCCTTTATTTTCTTCAAATGTGATTGCAGTTTAAAGGTATTAAACAAATTATATCACCTACGTTCAAACACTCAGGAGTAAAGAATCATCATAAAAAATGATAAAAATTAGAAAAGCAACTACTCTAATTGTAAAGTCTTTGCCCATCTATAATGGGAACTGATGTACACCAAGATTATTTGAAAAAAAAAAAACCCCAAAAAACAAACAAAGCAAACAAACAAACAAATCACCAAAAAAACCTCCTACAACTTTAATCAGTAAGTTAAAATGTAACATTGGTTTTTGTTAGTACGAAACAACTTCATAGAAACCAAGCAAAAACCTTTTGGTCAAACACATGAATCTGCATCTTCTTTTGCTGTACAAAGTACATTTAAGATGGTGTGTATTACAGTAAGTAGCATACATATTTGACCAAGTCTACAGCTTAGGATATAAATACACAGTTCTGATATGCACTGGGTTATAAAATCTCCTTTTTAAGCTGCTTTGCTTCATTTCTGATTTGTCAGTCTACCTTAGACTGGAATTCCATTAGCACTCAGAAAAACATTAGAAAGTAATTCATTAGCTACAATCTATGCTCAATATGCAAGGCAAATAAGAAAGGAGCATTTCAAAACAATTTTCTTCAAAGTAATTAAACAGTAACATTTGCAATTGACTAAAACCAATTCTAGCTGTCACAGCCTTCAAAGCTGCGAGCCTCAAGCCTTAATTTTATTCACTGACTGGGGGAAAACAAGATTTTCTGCTTCTTCAACTCCACCAGCTCTGAATAAATTATTGTAATGTAAACATACTGTGGTTCGGTGCCAGTGCAGAAAGATCCCAAAAAGCCTATTCTCTTGCTTAAGACATTTCAAATTCAATCTCTATTTTCTTCAGAAACGTTTGGCTTATTTAAATTCAATTTGAAATTATAACAAAACTAGCCTTTTAAGATACATGTAGCTTCTCCTGGATACAGTTCAAGGTATCTGTTACCAGTAAAACAGCAGATACCAACTGGTAACAGACTGCGGACACTTTTGAATTCAACATTAGGATAGAAGTGAAAGCGTCACCCCAGATGATAACATCATGTAGAAACATAAGCAGACAGTGTTACCTTCCTGAAATCTACTTTGCATTACCACTTGATGGAAATTTTACCTATAAAAGGGAATGCACCCTAATCCTCAACTAGCTATCAGTCTTTCAAAATAATCTCTGGGGAAAAAAAAATTAACAGATCTAGTATATGCCTATATTTCTTTTTTTTCTGACAATACTAATTGCCTTCAAACTTCACTATGGCTTTGCATAGCATCAAGATTTTCACGACAGTGACAGAGTCTCAAAGCAGCAATGACTTATTATTAATTGTATAAGCACAGGAGGAAGGATATCTTGTTCAACAGTTCTTCAAATGAAAAAAAACTTATTTTGAGGCCATGCAGACAAATACAACATACTTATGAAATACAGGTATCAGTCATTAAGTTTTTAGAGAAAAAAAGTAATCTGAAGGCTATGTTGTATTTCATGAAACTATTTGCCGCAGGCCAAAAAGCCAATCCAAAGCTCAGATAGAAGCAGTTTTAAAGAGTATGATCTATATAAATATTTTCACTAACATGAGAAAAAATCCTAGAAAGCAATAGTTTGTGCTGTGCAAAGCCATCTTGCTGCACAACATTAGATACCATACTGACTTGCACTGTTTATTTCCAGGTGTGTCATTGCTGCCTTGACCCAGACCGCTTGGTTTGCAGTCTATACAGAACAGTGGTGATACTCTAGATATAGAGAGCTAGAATGACTTGTGTATTTAGAGCCTTAAGTAACATCCCTTACAGCCTCAGTAAGGACCACTGGGAGCCCTAGTACCCTTCCTTTTATCAAAGATAACTTTAAAAAAAAGTATCTGGAAATAAGTTTGCATCTAGTTTCAGCAGAAAACACTGGCAGTGCTAAAAAATTTGATGAAAATAGGAATAGATGAATTTACACTGAATCCTAGTGAAGTCTGAACATGAATGTGTCTCATACAATTGGTTTATATTCAGTATTCTGCCACCTCAGCTTTGCACTTTAGGGGCATTTTAGCTTTGTCTAGATGATGGCTAGGAACAGCATTTCTGCAACTGCCCATCTGCGGCACAGTCAGGTAAACTAACTCATTCAGAGTGGCACAGCCAGGTGAAAATGATAAAGTGGACAGAATCACACCAGTGACAGCTACCAGCAGCATGAATTCATCTGAAAGCGACAGCAGGAGACCTTTCACAATTGCCAAATAAAACACTGATCTTCCAGTTCGATTTTTTCAGGCTGCCACCACTGTTAGAATAAAACGTTCACTTAGCCATTTGCCTGACCCCAGAAATTACATGAATTCAAGGTATATCCTAATTGAATTTTAAGAAGTGAATGTTTTTCACCTTATGTCAATTGATTAAACCATATCACCAGAGAAGGAAATTATGAAAACGGAAAAACAATTGCAGATCCGGTATTAAATGATGAAAATGTGAGGTCAAGAGGAAAATCAGTGCATCATAGATAAAATGTTCTTTATTAAGCACAGCTGAAGCAAGACAACAGTACGTCATATGGAGACAAGAAAAGCAGCACTGCAACAGTGCTCTCCTAAACTGAGGGTCATACTAGAACATTGATGGTATGTCAATCCTAGTCTTCTGCAGTGTGCTGGATAAAAAAAAACACGGAACAGACACAGCTTTGACCCCTCCCCTCAAGCAGGCAGTCCTTCCATGAGGAAACAGAACCTAATGCTCCTCTGCTGCATTACTTTTTTTTCCCTCTACTCATGGAAGTACTAATTTCAGTACAGAAAAATTAATGGTACCCCAGCTGCCAGATGGGGCTGGGGGGATTTGTCTCTGCTCCCAAATGGCTGGGGCTGTCTCTTTTATAAGCTTCTCTTGAAAAAGAGACTCAAAGGGCTGTGCTTTTCAAGTATTTTTTCCTGCCTTCCTAGAGCAAAAATATTATCGTATTTGCTATACATTATTAATTTTTTTCAGGACATGTCAATAGCTAAAAGAGCTTGTGCAGAGCACATACAATGGATTATCTACACTGAAGAAAAAAAGCTGAGCTTTTAATGCACCTATTAAGTTAACAAAAAAAAAAAAACCCTCTAAAAAAACCCAAGCCCCCCCCCAAAAAAAATCCCAAAAACCCCAAAAAATGCACAACTCTTATGACGAATACAGCCTAAGCCTAGCTCTACTCATTTGAGAAAGGATGTTTTTGGATTTGCTTGTCCCAGTATTTGAAGTTCTCACGAACAACGTGGCAGGAACAGTCCTGCCATCTGCGGTGCATGGCACTATGGGGAAATTTAAATTCTACCTTATTTCTACTAGCCTTCAAACAAGCCGTATAGCATCCATAGCCCTACAGTGGAAAATGTTTAAATATGAGCTGAAAAAAACAAACTTTGCAAACCACTGGTCAAGCAGATTAAACATTAATTTCTTCCGTATCTGCACATCAGCTGTGTTACCAACTAATCCAACTATCCCAGACCCATCTTTTTAAACTTATTTCTCTGTAGAGAGAGAAAGCTTGCCTTCCTTACAAGGGCATCGAGAGTTCGTACTGGAGCATCAAAATGCAATATACGAAGCTCCGAGGATTTAGACTCACTGCGTTCGCTACATGCCCGGTGTTGTTCTGAACAGAGGCAGCCCTTGGCTCCCAGCGGTTGTTTCCGCAAGCACAGACGAGGAAGCTGTTTCTGCCCCAGCCGCTGCCTCCTCCCGCAGCGGGACCCGCCAGTCCCACCCCGGCGGCTCAGCCCGCGCAAGCCCCGCTCCGAGCGGCGCTCCCGGCCGCGCTGACGGGCCGCCAACGGCCCCGCGGCCTCGCTCACCCTTGACTTTGCCGAAGGTGCCGACACCCAGCGTGTCGCCCAAGATATAGTGCCCGATCTTCACCCGCCCGTGCTCGTGCTTCTGTTTATCCGCCACCGCCGCCATCTTGAGGCAAGGGCCGAGCCTGCGCATAGCCCCCGCGCGCGCCTGAACAGAGCGCTGGCGGGGAGGAGCAACCACAGAGCGCCAGCCCGCACCCGAACCCGGAAGCGAACGGCGCACCGCCCGCCCGTCCTGCCCCAGGACGAACCATTGAGGCTCTCGGGGGAGGCCGGGCCGGCCCACCGGCCCTGCCAGGGGGAGAGCGGGCCCTGCCCGGCTGCGGAGCGCGGACATGGCGGCGCGTACGGGGCTGCTGGTCAGGAGTGGTGGCCTTGCAGCGAGGCCGCTCGCATAAAAACGGACCTCCTAAATCTTCATTTGCAATAACCTTGTGTGAAAAGTACATATTATATGGCTCTGCGCAGATATTTACTATATGTATAATGTTGTATTGATTAGTACTGCTGTATTAACATTTTAATGGTATGATAAATGTAGTTTTGTAGTTAAAATGTAACTTTTGTAGTTAAAATAGAAACTATGTATGTGTTTTTTTTTTTTTTTTTTAAAGAAAGGAATGAGGTGTTCGCACCAGATAGCAGCCACAGGACACGTAAATCTTTCAGAGAAAGATAATTTATTGCTCCATTATCAGAGAAACGAACTTCTTCCCCCCTCGCTCAGCTCTGAAGACGCCGTCAGGATTAAGAGGAAGAAGTTGACGATGACGAGACAGAATCCTTTGTTTGAATGGAATTTATGCATCATGTATGAGGTGTATGAATATGCAATAGGCTATTGCTTTTAAGAGTTAATCCTCTGTTAACGAGTGTCCTTTTTTGGGCTTATTTTGCCCAGAAAGAGGTACCCGTATAGTTCATAACTCTTTGTTTTTTATTGTCTCGTATTGTCCTAATCTCAATTGTTCAAATGTTTATTACTCTAAATATATTATTATTTTTATAACCATTTTATTACTTTTAAACTTTTAAAATTTTAAAAACAAGTGATTGATGTTTTTCACTGATTTATTTGTAAATTAAATCTGTTTGTTCTCCTCAGTTCCTCTTCCCACAACCAGATCTTATTATAGGAATACAAAGTAGGAGTCTCAACTCCACCTACCTTGACCATATATCTTGCCTTCTGGCTTGCCTTGCCAACCACTCATGCTGCTCATTCACTTTTCATTTAAACCACTAATTTGCCTTCCATTCGGTGCATTGGGTATTTTCTCTACACCAAAGACCATACTTCTTTTTTTGTTCACTATAAATGGATTAATTTTTTTATTCACATTCCAACTCTGCATTGAAAGAAACACATAAACCTGGAGAAGTGACTATTGGATGGGTATTTCCAAACAGATCATCAATTGAAGAGGAAGGTTATGGGCAACTCCCATGCCTTTACTTCCTTTCCCCAGTACTCCAGACTAAGACTAACTCCAGACTAACTGAATGATTAAATTTAAAACGGTCTCTCTTGCCTACCCTACACACGGCCCCTGAACATGTTTGCAAATAGATAAATACATCAGACAGCAAGAAATTTTGGACAATTTTATTATAGTAATGGTCTTCAATTCAGAGAGCCTTCAATATTACTTATGTTATAGTCATGAATTTAACAGTTGGAAACCAGAAATTCTGGTCTATGCAAAAATTGTATGTTTAATTAAATTGTATATTTAATTAAATTAATGCTTAAATTAAATTAATAATTAAATTGCATATTTAACTAACTAAATTCCTCTATGGTAATGGCATAAAAAATTTTGTAGGCAAGTAACCCTGAAGGGTGTTCCTACTCAAAGGAGAAATCTTCATACCCTCACTCTGGAAAGGGAAGGGATGTGTCAGAAGTGTGTCCATTAAACAGTGGGACTGAGCTCTAATAGTATATAAACCACACCTATAAAATGATTGTCAGTCAGATGTTTCTAGGTCACCTGTGTCAGCTCATCAGCCTTTAGCTCAGCAGCTTTAATTCAGTTATCATGATTTGTGGGTTCCTTTCTCGGGAACTCGGCCACATCCTCATCAGTGCCAATTTCTGGCAGGAAATACTGTTTTTCACATCCTCAGGATGTTTAATTTTGAACAGTTGAGTCAGGCTGGTCTCAGCATTCTTCAACACCAAAAGCAGTGTGACACCCCTCCTCCGTCCACCTCTGATAACTTTTGCTAACAAGAGAAAGTTTGAGCAATTTTACCCAACTTAGAGCATCCTGCTATACTACAATAGTAACATTACACTAAACTACAATAGAATTGTACAAGCTTTGAAGTGTAATTATAAAAATTATTTAGCCTCATGTTAGATCTTGGCCTCTAAAAATTTTGTACGTCACAACTAATTAAACATGCACACAAATCATAATGTACAAACCAGCATAGTTCATGATCAGAGACTTTGGGGAAAAAGTATTTATGGTGAGGCTATCAAATTTCAGGGTGGGATTGGATAGCAATCTAACATCAAAAAAAATCCCTTTTGTGATGCAAAAAGCATTACTTTAACCTTTTGGAAACATTCATTGTAGTATGAGGAGAAAATCATGTGTTGAATATCACACTGGGAAAAAAAAAGAATGGATTAAGCCATAGCTAGATGAAGAGGGAAAAATATTTGGGATGTGTGCCGACATCTTGCACGACACTTCTTAATGTCTTGATACCAAATGATTGCAAGCTATTTTTGGCTTCAACTCAAGCTGCTGTCCTGATCATGACAACACAATGAGAATTCAAAAAGCTCTACAGTTCTATACTACAAAATTATATAATTTCATTAATTACTAAGTAATCTCTTAATCACTTAGATACCAGAACATTTTAGAAAATTAAAATAAATGAGCTGTTAAAGTCAAGACAGGAAGTAAACTGTAGAAGTCATTCATTACTTTTATATTTGCAGACACAAGTGAGTATTACCAAAATATTTTGTCCATTTGTACTGTGACTTTTATGCTTATGTCACTGCATTCAGTTTTACTCAAAGTTCTTTGTTACACCTTGACCATTAACTTGCTTTTAAAAAAAGAATAAAAGCATAAAACCTACAAGAGATAAAGTCTCCCAGGCTGAGTCAAATCAAGCATAATCTAGGCCAAGCCTCATAGTAAGATCACAATGGATTCGTATTTTAATATTGTAAGATCACAATGGACTCATATTTTAATATTTTATATACTTATGTACAACACATAAGTATTGTACAAAATTAAACCTACACATCTTACTTGAGCTTTACTCAGTGTGAAGGTAGTGTTAAACACTTTATAACACTAATCAGCAGCGCTGCTTCCTCTTCGCCTTTTGTGTGTTAGACTCATATTAGAAGACTGAGCATTTTGGCCAACAGCCCAACTTTGAGTAATGTATTGTTAGGGTGTGGGCTGCAGACTGTCCTCTTAGAATAGCTGTAGGAACAAAATATACCAGAGGAATTCCTCCATGAGTCTTTGAGGCCAACTTACTTTCTGATAACCTCTCCATTACACTATTTATCTTGAAAAGAGCCCATGCACTACTTTAAAAACACTTTTTCTGTTTGTTTATTCACACTGGGCATGCCTCTACTTTTAAGACAGAATTTTAAAACAAAAAATGAACTCAAAGCTGACTTAATGATTTCTGTCAGTTATCTCCATAATCTTATTTTAAGAAAGAAAATTGCTGCTAAGTTCCCCTAGTACAGTTTATTTCTTTTAAATGTAAATTGTTTCTATTTTTTCAATAATTTATTCCACATATGTCGGAAGACTCAGGATACTCTAGTGTAAATAGAGCTGCTACTCTGTGGAAACACCCCCAGCACTGTTACCCAGGGCATTACAAGTGCCACCAGTGTGGAGAGCCAGCACGTGTGCCCTTTGTGACACACAGGGAGCCAGTGCTCCTGTGGTTCAGGGACACAGCCAGGCTTTCCTGACACGAGTCTGCCCAGACACTGCAATGCCATCAGGGCCCTGGACAGCTCAGGGCCAGCAAGGAGACCAACAGTGGTAGATGATGTAACAATAAGACAGTACAAGAAAACAACGGATTGAAGACAAAAGGGAAAACATTCTCAGCTTTACTAACAGTGTGAAAGGGGGAATGCTAATGCAGGTTGTTTCTACTAGCTGGCATTAAGACTTCCTTGGCATCATTGCTGCATTTTGCAAACACGCACATGCTTCTTGCCCTTTTCTCTTTGACTTCTGACTCTACATTACCACTGAATGTACATTTCTTCCAGAAGCACTCAGCACTATTTCCACTTTCCTTCTCCTCCCCCTAAAAGAGTATGTTTTGCCCAGCTCTATGCTTCTATTGCTGTTCTATTCTGCTGTTTCTAGCTTCTAAGTTGAAGACACTGCAGAAATCACACAATCACACAATGGTCTGAGTTGGAAGGCATCTGTAAAGATCCTCTAATCCAACCTGCCCTGCAGTCAGTCAGGACATCTTCAACTAGACCAAGCTGATCAGAGCCCAGTCCAATCTCTCCTGAAACACTCCCAGGGATTGGAAGTATTATAGCTCCTCTGGGCAGCCTGTTCGAATGTCTCAGCAGCCTCAAAGAAAAAGACTTCTTCCTTTTACATAGCCTGAATCCACTCTCCTTTAGTTTAAAACCATTACCCCTTGTCCTGTAACTGCAGGCCCTACGAATAGGTCTGTCCCCATCTTTCTTCCAGGTCTCCTGAAAGTTTTGAGTGGCTTCCTGGAGCCTTCTGTTCTCTAGGCTGGACAATCCCACCTCTCTGGGTTCATAGGAGACATGCTGCAGCCCCCGGCATCTTCTTTGTGGCCCTTCTCAGGGCATGGTCCAACAGAAATATGTCTTTCCTGTTCTGGAGACCCCAGAGCTGAATGCAGCACTCAGGGGTGAAGTCTCTCTATAGATGGAAGGACAGAGGGGCAGAATCACTTCGCTTGACCTGCTGGCCACACTGCTCTGGATACAGCCCAGGATGTGGTTGGCTTCCTGGTTTCTGGGCTGCAAGTGCACATTGCTCTCTCATGTCCAGCTTTTCAAGCACCATTACCCTCAATCCTTCTTCATAGAGCATCTCTCAATCCCTTCATCTCTCAGCTGGCATTTGCCTTGAGTGCAGGACCTTACATTTGGCCTTGCCGAGCATCTTTAAATTCACATGGGCCA